GTGGCAATTTTCGACTGACAATCACGCGAGGTGGCCAGGCCATGTGGGCCAAGCTCAAGGACAGATTATGGGACTTTCGACAACGTGCAGAGGGGCTCAGTGAGGGATCTTGGGAGATGTTGACATAGATCCAATTTGTTCCAAGGCAGAACACGCATTGTTAGCGACCGTGTGCATATAAGAATAGCATTGCTTTTTGGAAGTAAATATGATACAAATAAGACATACAGTAAAGCCCACGCACAAACTCATTCTCATCTGTCTCAAAGTCAACCGGAACTGTTCTGATTTGAGGCTATTATTATACGATACAGTATATCTATTCTAGCTGGATGCTCGACGACGGGTTTTCAAGTGCAGACGGTAGTGTGGCATTTGCACTTCATTTTGCGAGTACTATGAAGACTCGCATGCGATTCGAGCCGAACTTGAGCCGATCAAAAAAGGCAAGTACGAGAGACACGATCATGCTAGCCTTTCCAATAGTAGCGATCAAGAGCATCTGCACTACATGAGAGTGGGAGTTGAGTGTCAGTTGAATGCGAATAATGGTGTGGTGCTGAGTCGTGTGTATTTCTCTCTGTATCGTTTTACTTATTTTATAAGTGCCGTCTCCGTGACCCGGAAAAAAAAAAACACAGCCAAAAAAAAAACGCTTGTGTATCGGCAAGCATCAATCGACTCACGCCATGACAGTGTCACTACTATCATACCATTCCACCCAAGATTCAATTCATTGCCTAATGCTCAAGTGTGCAGCCTGAGGCTTTCACATCAGCTGGCTATCGTGCGATCTGCGCGAGTTGCGACGCTTGCTCGTCGTCAGCAGCAGCAGCACCATCACCATCATCACCACCACCACCACCACCAGCATTAAAACTAGCAACTCGCATTCCCCGTCGACATTCTTATCAGTACACAACATACAGCGACGATAAGCGCGTTTTTCTACATTCGTACTTGATTCACAATAATTCACTCGCTTACCCTTTCAGCACGACTCGATAGCGCATTGATATAGAAGTGCTGCTGCTCTTTCTTGTCCGTCATGCAGCAGCCGACACAGCATATCGCTATCAACTTGAGCCACGCACCAGGCGGCATGGATTCGACAGCGCATCAAGGCGCTCATTCCAACAATGCGCTCTTCCCAAACCCCATCCCACACTCTACGATGGGTAGCGATCCACTCACATCCGCACTCAGCCTTCTGCCGCCCGAGCTGCTTCAATCGCATCAACACCAGCATATGCATCAGCCATTTGGTCAACTCGCCTCCTCTCCACCTTCAGGCTCTGCTTCGCTACTCTCGCACGTTCACACTCAGCTTCAGCCCACTAATCAGCCTCTGCTAGTACAGCAGAGTCGTGGCTCGCAGGGTCTGCCGCAGTCCCAGCAAGAACAGTTGCCAGACAATCAACACCAGTCGCTTCAGCGTCCTCAGAATCACCGTCAGTCATCGCATGGCCAGCAAGACCAGCAGCAATCACAACTCCAGCAGCACCAGCAGCAGCACCAGCAACCACCACTACGTGCGCAATCTTCCCCTTTCAACCCTGCCCAGCATCCACCCGTCCCGCAACCCCAGCAACCGCCAAACCTTGCGCAATTGCTCGGCTCTAACCCGGCTGCCATCGTTTCCCAGCCGTCTTTACTGCAGCAACATGCATCAATCCTGTCTGATGCTCGTTCCTCGGTATCTAGCTACTCGCAATCGCTACAGGAAGTCAGGTCAGCAACACCTCCTGATCGTACCGACATTCGCAAAGTTGTTTCTTTGCTCGAACGCGCCTCAAAGGCGTTGGCTTCGGAGCTCGAACAGGGCGTATCCAAGCTGAGGGCGCTATCCAACTCGCCAGCGTACAATAACATGGCAGGGCTGTTCAGCGGCACGGCTGCGAACAACCTCGGCCAGGGCGCCAGTGATCTGTTCGGAGCACTGAACCACTTTGGCATGCCCAGCTCTGGCATGCAACAGCAGCACAATGTCGGAGCCTTACCCTACGACCTTGGTCTCGGCTTTCAGCAACCCCCTCACTCGAGCAGCATGTTTGCTATGAACGGGCCAACCAGCACTCCTGATGGGGGTCCGAATGGTTTCAACGGCCCGTTCTCGAACGATGTTGGTGGTGCACAAACGAATGGACAGCCGAATGGTAATGCACAGAGCTCGCCTTTCCTGTCTGCACTGCTTGCTCAATACTTGTCGCAATCAAACACAGATCCCTCGAGCCGCATGGGCGCGTTATCGCTCTTCCAGTCAATTGCTAACGGCAATGGCAACGGTGGCCCAATGCCCAATTCTGTACAAGGCCTTGAAGCGCTACTGGGCCAAAATTTGCCCCAGCAGCAGCAACAACGACAACAGCAACAGCAACAGCAACAGCAACAGCAACAGCAACAGCAACAGCAACAGCAACAGCAACAGCAACAGCAACAGCAACAGCAACAGCAACAGCAACAGCAACAGCAACAGCAACAGCAACGTCCCGGCATGGAACTGCCTGGTATGAATGGAGGACGGTTAAGCAACCACATTGGTGTTGCACAACAGCTCGCCAACGGCGCGCCACTTACGAATGCTGCCGCGCTTGCTGCTTTGACCTCGCTCGGTATCACGCCAAGGATGCTAGAGGCATTGGGGCTGGGCTCTGTGGCACAGCAGATGCTCGAAGCACCAACAGAAAGTGATACCGAGCAAGGAGACAACATTAAGATCACCGGCAGCCAAATGCGCTCCCCCCCTGGTCTTCGCGAAGACAGTGTTGAAGTGGACCAGACCGACCCAGAACCCGCACGCAAGAAGCGCAAGCAAGGCCGAGCAAAAGCCATCAGCTCGTCTCCTCACGTCTTCGCCGATCCAAGTTCGTCGAAACAGCCATCCAAAACGTCCGAGGATAAGAATTTCGCCGCTTGTGCTCGTCCAATTGCGATTCATAGCGCCCCCTCCAACAAAGCGTCTTCCTCCTCCATTCCATCAGCGGTGCACAAGCACAGCATTTCTCCTGGCCCTTCCATCGCCGATCCGTCCAACGATCAATCTCGCTCTTCGTCCTCCCAAAACAAACGCATTCCAACGCTTGGCGTCGGTCTGCGCCAAGAAGGTGACAAGCGCTACCGCAATCGTAAGCTCCTCCGCGACCTAAGAGAACACCTCTATCGTTGGCTTGGGACAGACGAGTTCAGGAAACTTCGCAACACGTACAAGGTTGCCGAATGGGTGCCGAACCCCCACCTTACAGAGGAAGAGAAGCAGATCTTGGCGTCTCTGCCTCCAGGTGCGGTTGCACAACCACCAATCACAACGCGCATCTTTCACGTCGATTTCACGTCTCGTGACTTTTATCGCACCAATCAGTCGTTGATCGATGCGATTGTAGCCGAGGGTAGTCGGAAGGTGGAAGCCAAGCCTGAGGCATATGCTATTGTACCGGGAACGATTGATCGGGATCATTTGGAGGATGTGGCCAAAGATCTGATGGATTCTGCTAGGAGTGGCTTCCGAATGTCGCTGAGGACTGGCCTACAAGCGGAGAAGGAGGACAAGGAGAAGCATGAAAAGTATCGTGGAGTCGAACGCGCCAAGACCAAGTGTCGTAATCGAGAGATCGGTGCGGGCCGTTTACGTCATGCCATCCCCAAACAGCTTCTCATTCCTGGTGCCTACTCGGACGATGCGGCTTCGGACGAAGATCTGCACGGACTGACCAAATCCGAATGGAAGCGTCAGCGTTTGCGCAAGTTGCGCATTGCCAAAGGTTGGGAGGCGGTGACGCCCAAATGGAGGAACAAGCATTTGACGCGAGCATATCACAAGGCGGACATTGTATCCAAGAGCAAACAGATGGCTAGATGGAGACGAGACGATCCTGTGGATTTGCCGATTCCGATCAAGCTGTATGGCAAGACGCTGCCCAAGCAGCTGTTTGATCCAGAATGGTTGGCCGAGCATCGCAAGGAGTTTGAAGATGAACCGTACTGTATTCGGATCAACGAAAACGAGATTGAAGGGTGGGATGAGGGACATCATCCGTTGGGAGAGGATACGAGCGATGAGATGGAATGGAGTGATGCCAAAGATTCGAGTCTGCATGGTGGTGGTGGTGGTGGTGGTGGTGTTGGGATGAGGGGGAGACAGCTAATTGGAGCTAGTGGAAGTGGGAGTGGGAGTGCTAGCAGGGATAGGGGTTCTATGACTCAATCTCCTGCACCTGGTCCATCTGCTGCATGCGTTAGTAATAACAGTGTCGTCTTGAAAGGGTCACAGGCGGACAGTAAGCCTGGATCTGCTACACCTGTTGGCGCAGCCTCACAGCGTATGCTCACAACGTCGATTGCGAACGAGTCGTCGTTAGAACCAACAATGACAAGCGAGAGATCCACCGAGGTTTCATCTGCAGAAGAATCCAAACACCAGAAAAATTCAGTCAGCATGATGCGTAACAGTATCGTTTCGGAAGGTTCAGGCACGAGTAGCGTTTCTGGTGGCAGCTCTAGATCGGAGAATCCAGATGGTAGTAGCGATTCAGATTCGGATAGCTCCGTCGTCGGCGTCGACGACGACTCGGCGACTTTGTCACAAGGTGATAAGAGCTCGGTTTCTTCTTCCAACAAAACAGCAGCCGCAAGCGTCTAGGAACGAAAATATGGCTACAGAGAGCAAAGTCGCTTCCAACTATCAATAAAATCAAACAGCCTAGCTAGCCTAATTGCAACCACCCTACATTTTTCACTTGTGTTGTCACCTTGGCTCTGAAACAAGATTTATCCCGATCATATCGAGAGATGTGCGTATTACATTTTTTCCTTCACGTTGAGCTTCAGGGTCAAGTCTGTGCTGGTTGACGCTTTCCTTGTATGTTTATCAGAACAAGAAGCTTCATGCGAAAAGTGAAAAAAAATAAAATAATAATAATAAAGGAGCCAAAAAAAGTAACAATAAAAGACTGGCTAGATGAAGATCGAGAAGAAAATAATATCAAAAAAAAAAAGATTGTTTTCTCCGAATCCGGGAATTGAACCCGGGTCTGCGCCGTTGGAAACGCGGAGAACATAATTGCATCCGAGGATGACAAGGCGCCGTCATAGCCACTAAACTAATTCGGAACCTGTTTACATTCAATAGACTTGAAAAACATTATATATACTGTTATGATCTTGGTCTGAAGCTTGATCGAGATGGACGGATTAAAGATTGAAATGTGTGTTTCCAACGTATGAGGAAATGGTATATGACAAAGGGAGGGAGTTTGATTTGGTTAAAAAGTAAGTTTAATCTGTGGTTTGCTGACTAGCCAAGCCTGATGGGTGCAGTGACGATGAGAAGAGGGAAAATAGTCAATAAAAAGGTTACTAAAAAACACTTTTCTGTTGATTTTCACTGAGAGCTGTTCGCATCTCAAATTGGCAAAGGATGGATTTGATTTGACAAGGGAGCTTGATGACGAAACGTATTTTTGTCTTACAAACAAAAGCGTGTTTTTAGCCTTTTCATTTGGGATTTTTGGGTATCTGTGTGTAAGTGAAAAAGTACAGAAGAGTACAAGATTTGATGAACGACGTTGAACAAAAGCCGACAAAAGAGCCGAATCTGAGAGGAAAGGATTAGGTTTTTTTTTCAACCAGACTTACTCGAGTGTGGCATTCACAAAACAAAATCGTGAAAAAGGGGCAAGACATACTCGGTGTTTAGCGGGGGGACTGGGGTGTTCGTTACATGACGTATCACCTCAGTTTACATCATCACATCGTGCTTCAAATAGGGTTGTTTTTACAGTGAAGTAATTTAAACAGTATTGTGCTGCAAACACACTAAAATAAGAATGATACTGCACATAATGGGCAGCGGCGTACAGCATGCATAGCACGAGTTTCGATGCATCTAGGAAGATGCACTATTACAGCACTTTAAGGGTCGAACGTTGGGGATGGACAAGTGGACCGCGCTTCCGATTTATGAAAAGAGCAAACAATGGCGAATAACATGGAGAGAAACAAACACCGAGTTATTGAGAGAGGCGAAGCTGAAATCGCATGGTAAGGTTATCGTACTACCTTGACCACCAGCAGTCACATGTTGTAAAACAAGAAACCAGATACGTTAAGAGAGAAGAGAAAGCCGTACATACAATACTGGGACCAGAGATGAGAGTACGCATAAGCACATGACCACTAGTTACAATCTGTTTCTAGAGTTGTCTGTGTCTCCGACCGTCCAAGCCTTGAGAACGGGATCTCTCTGTTACTAGATAGACAAACGCAAAATTCAAGGCAGAGTGATGAAATCGATTCACCTCGGCAAACGAGGAGTCAACACAAACGCTTTTCCTGGTTGCATACGGTATGATAGGCCGCGTGGCATGATACTGAAAACTTTCCGAGACATTTTTATTTAGCGAGAGTTTTTTTCATGTGATCGGCACAACTCAGAGATGATCGAACTACCAGTGTGCTGTACAGGAGATGGGATGGATGTAGCTTCTTGGTCTGTGTGTTTGTGTGTGCACATGTGCTTGTGATTACCGTCACGATCTATCGTATTCAATCACACGACTCTCATGCCCAAATACAAGAAAGGTGCAACTAAAGCAGAAACAACAGCTAAGTACAGATTATACTTACTGGTTCATGGATGTGGATTCTTGATTGATGCGTTGCGGATCAGCTACGTATACACTTGACACGAACGGTGCGGTCATCGTACCCCTTCTCTCACAAGCTGGTACGCTCTCACCTGCCTTGAATTGATCTCGATACTGTCCATTTATTCCACAGTATGAATTACAATGTTTTGGTTGACAATGAGAATGATTTTCAATGACAGAGACACATGTCAATTTGTGAAACTCTCCCTGGCAAAAGTAGCGTCATATCATGACATCAAGCTCATCTCATGCACCCTCAACACAGCTCAAGAAGCTGAGAAGGAACAGGGTGAAATTGCTGAAACTTGCCCGACCAAAACTTAGTACACAGTACAATTCTGTAGAAAGGAAAGCTGTATGGTGAGGTAGATGGGCTCGATCGATAAAGCTCGCCACGGATACCACGGCGACTCAAAAGTCTGACCAGCCAAGTAGAGACGAGAATCCTCAAGAGGAAGGATCCAACTAGACAGATTGTGTGACGACGGCTTCCACTGGAGATCAAACGGGTAATGTGGCACTTTCTCCAGCCAAGTTCATTCATGCCAGCAAGATGAGTAATAGACAGCAGGAGCCACAATCCTGATAGAAGCACACCAGAGAGGTGGGGCTTCACAGCGACGATCTTGGCGCAATGTATCTCCGCACTTGCTCTTGGGATGTATTGCTGCTGTTAGTGTTGCTGTTGCTGGATGTTTTGCTTGAAGCTTGGCTGGCGGTCTACCATGGCTGTGTCAGCAAACGTGTATTTTTCCAAAGAATTTCATCTTGTTTGCACGAATATGCTAGCGGCAGCGAATTGCTGATGGAAAATGTCACGCCGCAAAGACATGAAATTCAAGCCTTGCAGCTCAGAGAGGAACAAGAGCTGTCACAACTCCTGGCACTGATTGCCGTCGATGAGAGAGAATCGACAGCATGACCTGACCTCGGGTGATCATCATGAGATAGCACCGCTCTGGTTCGAGTGTTGCTACTGACCTGTCATGGCCAAATATACGTATCGCGTTGTTGTGTACCGCACCATAGCAACGAGCCAACGAGTCGAGACCCTAGTTCCAAGGCCGAGTTGCTCCTTGAGTCCGATTGAAGCAAGTCGGCCACCCAATCGGAAGCGCTATCCTTCGTTGGTCCGAACGGCTGTCAACTCAAAACGGCGAACGGTCGCGTGGGTGACTGATGATCGGAGTCGAGGCATGCCTGACCGTAGCAAACCATAGGCGCATTCTTTGTTGACTATCTCCTTTTGTTCGCCCTCATGTCTCGGTCTGCAAGTGCAATCACTTGAATCTCAGCAACTTTCCGACTTGCCGTTGTTGTTCTGTGTGGTTCAATGAATGTAGATGTGTAGCATCTTTCCCTAGATTCGTGTGACGTTGAAGTCAAGGAGCCACATAGTGTTGTTGATTGTGAGTACAACACACACTCTCAGAACTCGGGTCTCCCCCCTCCTTCGAATTGAAAGTCCGCACCCGTAACAATAAAGGCGTGTCAGAGAGACCCTGACGAGTTGGCATCTGCAATTGATGCTGGCGAATTATAATCGGCCTCATGTTCTTGGCTCCGCTCCATATAAAACTCAGTTGGTCAGGAACCAAACTTTTGAGAATTGCACAACTACTGTACTCCGACTATTGCAGCTTGAAACAAGCTTGAACCCTTCTTGCCCTTTTTCTGTCCCTCTCGAGTAGGAGTGTGACTAGAGTTCGCCGAGTGTTTTGCTTGATACTCCTCCGCTGGCTGAGCTTCTCTATGGTGCATAGTTGGGCGAATGGGTCGTCCAATCAAAAGCGAAAGACAGTGTGGCTTTCGGAAAAGGCCTCTCAACACTGCATGCGTGCGGTTCCCGTGTGGTAACCTGAACCGAAGGATGTCGATATGTTTACGTCGCAGAGATGTCAAATGCTCGGCATGGAACGGGTTGCTTATTTGCCCGCGCATTCATCAGCCGTTTACACACAGGATGGACCCTTCCCTCGCCTCTAGGACAAGGTTCCATATGCTTGCTCTAACCCTCTCGCCTTAACCTCGGACCGGATGAGTTGATTGCAAGCACCAATCTTCACTTGCCTATTGCCGTAAGCATGGTTGGCCGTGCCGGACATCTCGGCATGTGCATCCCCGCACGTCCCTTCCCGCATGTTCATCCGCGTGCGCCCTTCAATGCTCCACGCTACGTGTAAGACAGATTCTATTAGATGGATCCTGAATTTGACGTGAGTGGCAGAGTGTGATTTGATCGTTCTCAACGCGTTGCAATGCGTACTAAGTGAGACTCGAGGGGCAATTGATCTTGTTGTCTGCGGCAAAAGGGTCGCCGGCGTCATTGCTTCCGAAAATTCACGCTTTCAGAGTGTGGCAAACGCAGAAACACGCGGGCATTCGAGACCGGATTTGGCTAGACCCAACCTTTGACGCACGCCAAACCCTTTCAGACTCCTCGTCCGTGTCATTCTCTTGACCTGTACTCGTTTCCAGAGTTTGACCCCGGTCATTGAATCCATCCCCGATGTGGCGTATAAAGACCGCCTCTCTTGGTCCACAGAATATTTATGAAGGAAGGGTCATAAGCGCAAACCAAATCATGTTGGGCCACAAAAATAACGGTAGAAGGAGCGATCAATTGTGCAAAGGGCAAAAACGTGGAGCATTGCATCGCAACGCATCTGCATGCAGAGTAACATGCGAGACAATGTAGTCTTTGCTTGTGCAGCCAAACTGCTTAATTCTAAACTTTAAACAAGCAGGCAGACTCAAAATAGACCACGCCAAAGGTACGACGGAGGCTATACCACACTCTGCTTGATTGCCCGTTCGAATTCCTTCCTGAAAGTGGGCTCGACTCAATTTGGATGCAGTTGGAACTCACCCGCAACCACGCTGCCATCTTTAACTAGCTGAGTGGCCTGTGCTTTTCGCTTGTTTGCCGAACACGTTAAAAAAGTGATGGGCCTCAACATAGAAGCGGGGCAACGAAACGCGCTTCGGCAAAGTTAGCAGTCCACGCATATGCATTCGCCTGTATCGGGCACTCGCGCAGACGAACATTTAAACATGCGTGCAGCAAACGGCTTTAAGGGATCCGATGCTAGTTTTCTGCCAATCACAAATGTGTGCCGAGAGAAACATTATAGAGCTCGGCACTCACGGCTACAAATCAAAGCTCCAAATGCATCATCAGAACCGGGTGAGCATTTTGGCTTTAAAACTTGCCTTGGCATGATTGTCGAGGTTACTTATGACTTTATCGCGGCATCCGTGCACGCTGTTGAGCCATACACTAGAGTCTGCGAGATAAAACTAATCTGTTGGCCCCTGCAGCTTGTTGAAGCTCCTGCTTTGCTGGCTTTGCTGGCTTTGCGTTGTACTGGCAAAGATGGTGTCGCGCCTTGGTTGCGGGCAATTGACAGTTTTTAGCTTATTCCTCACAGCTAAATAATCTCAAAGCGTGGAATCAAGTTC